CTTTATGTGTCTGAGTGTTTTGCCTTTCTGTATGTCTGCATACTGCATGTGTGTTTGGTGTCCAAAAAAGTCAGGAGAGCAAATCAAGTTCCCTGGAACTGGAATTACAGATGGTGCTGAAAACTGAACCCTGATCCTCTGCAAGAATAGCAAGTGCTCTTAATAGCTGAGCTATGTCTTCAATGTCTTCAGCCCCTTTAAAAAAACTTGTTTGGATGGGCAGTGGTGGCACATGCCTTTAATTTCAGCACTCAGGAGGCAGAGGCAGCTGGAGGCCAGCCTGGTCTACATGGTGAATTCCAGGATAACCTGGGTTACACAATGAGACCCTGTATCACGCAAACAAAAACAAAAACCCAAACCAGCCAATCAACCAACTCCTGATCCTCCTGCCTCAGCCTCTGAAGAGGGCCTGGCATGTCTGTTTCCTTTCTGACTAACTTGGTTTTCTGTTCCCAACAGCACCATCCTCAACACACACTTTTTTTTTTAAAAGGTCAGGGTCTCAGCCAGGCAGTGGCGGCACATGACTTCAATCCCAGCACTTGGGAGGCAGAGGCAGGCGAATCTCTGTGAGTTCGAAGCCAGCCTGGTCTACAAGACCTAGTTCCAGGACAGGCTCCAAAGCTACAGAGAAACCCTGTCTTGAAAAAGAAAAACAAAACAAACAAAAAAAAAAGTCAGGGTCTCACCGTATTCATACTCACTGCCCTAGAACTCACTGTGTAAACCAGGGTCTAACGCATACAGATCTGCCTGACCTGTCCCCAGAGCACTGGGGTTAAAAGTGTGCTCTATAATACTTGGCCCGATCAGCCCATTGCGTGGACCACTGAAAACCTTAACCACCTTCCCAGGTACTAGGTCTGTCAGCGTCTGCCTTCCCCAACGTGTTCTCTGATTAATTTTTCCAACTACAGCTATCACCAGCTTCTCATTATCCACAATATTAAATGTCAGCTCGCTAGCCAAGATCGAAACTGTCCGTGACTTAACCTTGATCTACCCCTTTAACAGGCTAGGTTGCTGTGCTGGAGATACTGCTCAGTTGGTAGAGTGCTTGCCTGGCATTTGTGAAGGCCTGGACTCTGCTCCCAGCTGAAAACCGGATGCAGTGGCAAATGCCTGTAACCCCAACATTTGGGAGGCAGAGACAGGAGAATCAGAAGTTTAAAGCTAAAGAAAAAAAAATGTTCACTGGCACCTTGCAGCAAGTTTATGGCTAGCCTGGGCTCCGTGAGACCCTATAGCAAAAGAAAAAGAAGCTGGCTGGCTATTTGCCATACAAATGCTGAGGAGTCACTGGTAGGCAACTGAGAATCTTTTTTTTTTTTTTTTTTGGTTTTTCGAGACAGGGTTTCTCTGTGGTTTTGGAGCCTGTCCTGGAACTAGCTCTTCTAGACCAGGCTGGTCTCGAACTTACAGAGATCCGCCTGCCTCTGCCTCCCAAGTGCTGGGATTAAAGGTGTGCGCCACCACTGCCTGGCTGGCAACTGAGAATCTTAAGCCAGCCAAACTCAATCTTTCCTCCCACCCCCGTTTTTTTATTTTTTATTATGCATATAGTCTTCTGCCTGCATGTATGCCTGCAGGCCAGAAGAGGGCACCAGATCTCATTACAGATGGTTGTGAGCCACTATGTAGTTGCTGAGAACTTAATTTAAGACCTCTGGAATTGCTCTTGATCACTGTGCCGGCTCTCCAGGCCTCTTTGTTTATTGAACAGGCTATGATTCCTTCTGTGTGAGTGCATGTGTTTTGTCTTTGCCCATGATTAGCCACAGACAGTTGAATCACCATCTTCCCTGAAACACGTTCTTTTCCTGCATTCTCATTTGCTTTGTTTTGTTGTGACAGGGTCTCACTATGTAGTCCTGACTGGTCTGGAATTTTTTTTCCCCCCCAGACAGGGTTTCTCTATATAATAGCCCTGGCTAGCCTGGAACTTGCTCTGTAGACCAGATTGACCTTGACCTCCCAGAGATCCACCTGCCTCTGCCTCCCAAGTTCAGGAATTCAAGGCATACACCACCAAGCCCATTTTAGCCTGGAACTCTTTATATAGATCAGGCTAGCTTTATAGACACAGGAATTCATCTGCCTCTACTATGGGGAGTCAGAATGAGCCACCATGACCAGCTGCCTTCCCATTATTTATTTACTTTTTATTTTTTCTAGACAGGGTTTCTCTGTGCAGCTTTGGAGCCTGTCCTGGAACTCACTGTGTAGACCAGGTTGTCCTCGAACTCACAGAGATCTGCCTGCCTCTGCCTCCGAGTGCTGAGATTAAAGGTGCGCACCACCATCCAGCTTCAGTTTTTATCTTTTGTGCAACATGTTTTCCTATTAGTTTTACATTCTTTCCATGAAAAAAAGCAAGTTCTTTGAGAGACAGGGCTCATTTTCTCTCTTGTAGCCCACAAATACTATTTTCTACAGGTTCTGGAAAGATGATTGCTCTTTCTGTGTATCTAGCATCTGCTGGGTGTGGCAGCACACATCTGTATCAGCAAAGAAGACAAAGAAATGGTGTCCTAATTATGGAACAGTGGATAGTCACCAGACTGCTGTAGGATAGAAGGTTGCTCTCTGGGGTAGGCATGATTGCATGCCAGTTACTTTGATGCTCAGGATCATACTAGAGCTTGCTGCATTCTAGGTAACTTAGCTACATCCCCAAGCCTTTAATCCTACACATTTATTTATTTATTTATTTATTTATTTATTTTTTGTTTTGGTTTTCGAGACAGGGTTTCTCTGTGGTTTTGGAGCCTGTCCTGGAACTAGCTCTTATAGACCAGGCTGGTCTCGAACTCACAGAGATCCACCTGCCTCTGCCTCCCAAGTGCTGGGATTAAAGGTGTGAGCCACCACCGCCCGGCTTGAAGACCCGTTCTTAATCCCCAGGAACCACAGAGTGGAAGGAGAAAAGCAACTGACTTCACAAGTTGTTTGTGACTGCCGCATGTGTGCTCCCCCAACCACAACATAAATGAACATATAACTTTTAAAAGTTGCATTAGCTCTTATGCAAGAATGGAGAGTAAAGGGTATAAGAAAGCAGGGAAACTAACTGGGTTTGTGTTTTTTCTAGTTTATGGACAGAATACAAAGCTCCTGACTGTGTAAGAGTGAAGGCTGAGTGAACGGTATACTTAAGAAAGAAGATCAGGGTTTAAACATGGATAACCTAGATGCCAGCTAGAAATTCTGATGGGTAAGGAGTCTGCCTAACATTTGCTAGGCTCTGGGTTCAATTTACCCCCAGTGTGTATCTCTCTGTCTCTCTCTCTCACACACACAGAGAGACAGACAGAGAGACAGAGAGAGAAACAGAGAAGAGAGACACAGACAGAGAATACCCCAGGAGTGGTGGTGAAATCCTGTATTCTTAGCACATGGGGTGGGGCAGGAATGAGACAGAAGTATCTCAGATCAAGACCAGCCTGTGCCACACTTAGTATTTAGTATTAGTTCATGGATTTGAAGTGTGTTCTGGCTGCATCTTTGCCCCCACTGATCACCAAATTGATCTGGTTGGTTACGTGGGTGTCTCCTTCCCTCTTCTCACTCAATGGACATCTCTTCTAAAGCTTCATATTTGGTCAAAGAGGATGGGGCTGGAGAGATGGCTCAGAGGTTAAGAGCATTGCCTGCTCTTCCAAAGGTACTGAGTTCAATTCCCGGCAACCACATGGTGGCTCACAACTCATCTGTAATGAGGTCTGGTGCCCTCTTCTGGCCTGCAGGCATACACACTGACAGAATATTGTATCCATAATAAATAAATAAATATATAAAAAAGAGGATGATGTTCCCCAAATAGAGGATAGATCTTTGATTTTGATGAAGATTGTAGGAATAGCTGTACCACCCTGCTAGAACCTCCAAATAAACCAAGTCTACACAGCAGGGCCTTAGGAATGCAGGGACAAAGGAAGGAAGGAAGAGGGGGGTAAAAGAGAAGAGTGGAGCATTTATAAATACAGCGAGTTAAAGGAGAAAAAACCAGCATGTTCCTAAGGATTTGTTGTTTGTGTGTGAGATGCTGTGGGATATGATTGGTGGAAGATGGGAGTGGATCGGAAAGCCCAATAAGGTTGAACTGTTTGTGTTAAAGCTTGGGGCACCATGTGTGTATATGTGTGTGTGTTCACAAACATATGTGTATATACATATATACACACATCTATGTGTGTGTGTATATATATATATACATATACATATGTATATATATATATACATATACAATATATAGTCAGCAGTGTTATGGGTGGGATGGAAGTTTACTGGGAATACTTGAATGAGGAGCTCTGCCAAGGCAGGGCTGATTTGATAGGAGATAGGAGTAAAGATAGGTTGAAAAGAACCAGGAACCGGTGGTTAGGTTCTAGAAAACGTACATTTTATGGAGGTCAGAGGGAGTCCTAGGGTGTGTTCTTAACCGCTGATCCATCTCTCCGGCCCTCAGGGAACATCATATGGGAATCAATTGTTTCCATCAACTAAACAGGTCCTGGAGATAACTCAGGTAGCCTAGACTAGCGCCAAGTGTCTCCACCCGTTGAGCCATCTTGCTGGCCCAGCTTTTTCTTTTGAGACAGAGTCTCTCTCAGCAGCCCTGGAGAGTCTGGAACTTTGATGCCTAGCCTGGCCTTGATCTGGAGGGAGGTGATCCTCCTGATTCTGAATCCTGGGTGCTGGGATTGAATGAGCGGAGATAGGGTCTCACTATGTAGCTCAGACTGACACTGATTTTCATTCTCCTGCATCAGGCTTGGGAGTGTTGAGACCGCAGGCATGAACCACCTTGTCTGGCTACAGAGGTGGTGTGCTCTGAAAGGCCAGCTTTCCGTGAACCTTCCGCTAGGGCACCAGGACCCTGAGTGCCCAAACCCCCCTTGGGCAACACCCACTTCCGCCCTAATCCTCCGACCCCCTTGGCCGGGACCCAGCTGCTCGTGCGTCATCATTCCGCGCCGCCGCGCCGTGGGCATCATCTGGCCCCGCCCGCCCGGCGGCCGGGCTCCTGTCAGAGCCGGCTCCAGCCATGGTGCTGCCCAGGGTTTTGTAAGTTGGCAGCGGAGTCTCGGGACGTGGCGCAGGTCCCGATGGCGGCGGCGGCGGCGGCCCTGGCGGCGGCCGACCCTGCACCCGCGGTGCCGCAGGCGGCGGGAAGTGGTGGCTCGGCGTCTCGCCGAGACTTCTACTGGCTGCGTTCCTTCCTGGCCGGAGGTAGGTGTCCGCCGCTGGGACCCGGGGGATGGGTTGGAGAAGTCGGGCCACCGGCGAGTCAGAGCCGGCGGCCGCGGTGACAGCTCGGGACTTCCGCTGCAGAGCGCAGCCGGGCAGTGATCTCAGCCGCTGCTGACTTGTCTGATCCTCCACCGGCCCCCAGGGACGTGGACGGACTGACCCAAGGACCTGTTCCCTATGGTTGAAAAGAAAAGGATCCTTTAGGTGGGACATGATGGGCAGGCGCCTCTTTCTGTTACAGATAATCCGACTGGCAGTGTAGGTTTGAGTTTTGCTGTTTGCTTAAAAGGAAAACAAATATTGGGGAGGTGGGTGGAGGCCAGCTTGCGCTCGTGCTCCCTTTACACGTGGTGTGTGTGTGTGTGTGTGTGTGTGTGTGTGTGTGTGAGTGTGTGTGTGACAGAGAGAGGAGGGGGTGAGGTTGAGAATATGAAGCTATTTCATGTAGCACCCACAGCCTCCTTATGTATTTGAAGCTGGGTTTGAACTCCTGATTCTCCTGCCTCTACCTCCCAAGTGCTGGAATGACAGGCGTGTGCCACCACTGTCCATTTCTGGAGGCCAGCTTTTAAAAATAGACTAGGACATGAGGTGGCCGTGGTGGCACGTGCCTTGAATCTGACATCAGGGAGGCAGAGACAGGCAGATCTTGAGTTGGAGGTTGCTGGTCTACATAGCAAGTTCCAGGCAAGCTAGGAATGCCTAGTGATACCATGTCTCAAAAACAAAACAAAATGACTAGGGGTATTGTGCAAAACTGCTTACGACCAAAACTGGTTCCGGGAACTGTGGTAAACAAGCTGCATGCAATTGCTTGAAAAGAAGTACTCTGTGGCCGCAAGACCAGAAGGTTTCCGGGTCTCAGATTTCCTCTCCCTTCCTGTGTGCAGATGTTGCTGTCTTTTACCTCCCCTTTCCCACAATGACTGATTGTTTGAGTGGTCATCACCTAATTATTTACGAATGACAATTTAACAAACCCCGCATCATGAGGACTTGTGGAAAGATTGTATCCATAGCTTGCAGTGAATGTAATTTTTTTCTCCTGCAGATTGAAAAAGCATCTCTTATTTCTGGCATTCAGGAGGCAGAGGCAGGTGGATCTATGTAAGTTTGAGGCCGGCCTGTCTCAAAACACAAACCAAAACAAAACAATGACATCTCTTTATTCATACTGGAACACCTGAGTTCCAGTTAGGTGCCCACTTTGGCGTGTGTGTGTGTGTGTGTGTGTGTGTGTATCAGAGGACAAAAGAAAGATCTGTTGTCCGGGCATGGTAGCACACTCCTTTAATCCCAGTGCTTTAGGAAGGTGGCAGGTTGATATCTGTGAATTCAAGGCACACCTAGTCTACAGAGCAAATTCCAGGACAGCCAGGAATACACAGTGAGACCCCATCTCAAAAAAAACAAAGTGTTTAGTTGGGCTTTGGTTTCAGAGCCCACGGAGGCAAAGCAAAGGCATAAGTTCAGCCACAGCTGCGAGTGTACATTCTGACCTTTAAACAGGAGGCATAGAAAGACACTCTGGCAATGGTGGGAGTCTTTTGAAACCTCAAAACCTGTACCCCCAGTGACCCACATCCTTCAACAAGGCCATGCTTCCTGAGCCTTCCCAAACAGTTCCACCAACTTAGGACCAAGTTTTCAAGCATATGAGACTATGGGCGCCGGTCTCGTTCAAACCGCTATATGAATCCTGGCCACACTGTGCTAGGGCTTCCCAAAAGTACCCTGTTTATTTTTCTGGGTTCTAGGTTGGGGTCAGCATTGAGATCAGAGATCTAAACACCCATCAGAAAACTGTTCTGAAGATCTCTAAGGGGAACCTGGACATCCAGCAGGCTGCATAGACGACCAAGGAGGTTATACTTGGCGGCTCTTGCATACCAGATCCACGGAAAGAAAGGAACTGGTTGACCGAGGCTGGCTTTAAACTCCTGATTCTCCCAGTTCTGCTGCCTTGGCCTAGTCCTGCGTTTATAGGCCATGTGCTACCATGACCAGTACTTTGTGTGTGTGTGTGGGGGGGGGGCAAAGATTCCTTTTATTTATTTAAAAATTACACTTATCTCTCTGTGTGTATGTGTGCGTGACAAGCCTAAGTTAAGGCTAAGCATTCATAATTAATAATAAGTCTCTGCCTTTATTTGGGAGCTGGTTGGAAGCTCAAAGAAAAGTCCAACTCCAGTGACTGGCCATCCACCTTAGTTTTTGAAGCAGTCTTTCCCTGGAGCTCTCTAATTAGTTAGGGTGGTTGATCAGAGGGCTCCAGAGATCTGCCTGTTCCAGCCTACCACCCTGTTACAGCCACCATGCCCAGGTTTTAGATGGGTACCTACGATCTGGACTCAGGCCTAGACTCGGGTTCTCATGTTTGTGCAGTAGTGGTGGTGGTAGTGGTGGTAGTGTTTTGAAACAGGGTCTCATGCAGTCTAGGCTGGCTTCAAAGTTGATATGACCCGAGGCAGATATTCTGCGTCTGCCTTTCCAGTGTTGGTATTATAGGTGTGAACCCATGCCTGACTCTGGTAGGAAAGTCTTCAGAATATTTTGTATGTGCTTAAGTTAAACAGTTTTTTCCTTTATTTTTATTTTTGTGTATGGGTGTTTTGCCTATATTTATGTTTTTTTTTTTGTTTTTCTAGACAGGATTTCTCTGTGGCTTTTGGTTTTTCTTTTTCTTTTTTTTAAAATATTTATTTATATTAATTATGTCAGTGTATATGCCTGCAGGCCAGAAGAGGGCACCAGACCCCATTACAGATGGTTGTGAGCCACCATGTGGTTGCTGGGAATTGAACTCAGGACCTTTGGAAGAGCAGACAATGCTCTTAACCTCTGAGCCATCTCTCCAGCCCCTTTTTTGGTTTTTCGAAACAGGGTTTCTCTGTGGTTTTGGAGCCTGTCCTGGAACTAGCTCTTGTAGACCAGGCTAGTCTCGAACTCCCAGAGATCCGCCTGCCTCTGCCTCCCAAGTGCTGGGATTAAAGGCATGCGCCACCACCGCCCGTCTTATTTATATCTTTTGTTTGTTTGTTTTTTTGTTTTCTCTGTAATCTTTGGAGCCTGTCCTGGAACTAGCTCTTGTAGACCAGGCTGGCCTCAAACTCACAGAGATCCACCTGCCTCTGCCTCCCAAGTGCTGGGATTAAAGGTGTGTACCACAACTGCCTGGCTGCCTATATGTCTGTCTTCACACCATATGCAGGGGCTGCCAGTGGATGCCAGAAGAGGGCATCCTGGTACTGGAGTTACAGATGGTTTGAGCTACCCTATAGGTGCCAGTAATCTAATTCAGGTCCTCTGGAAGAGTAAGCAGTGCTCTTAACTGCTGGATTATCTCTCAAGCTCCTAAGTTTTTTTCTTTCTTTTGCTTTTCTTCATTTCTTCCCTTCTTTTTCCTTTTTCTAAGACAGAATTTCTCCGTGTACCTCTTGTTGTCCTAGAACTTGTTTTGTAGACTAGGCTGGCCTCCAACTCAGAGAGATTCACCTACCTCTCCCTCCCGAGTGCTGGGATTAAAGGTGTGTGTCACTGCCATCCGGCTTTCTTTTCTTTTTCCCTTGAGACAAGGTCTCTCTATGTAGCCATAGGTGTCCTGGAACTCACTATATAAACCAGGCTGGCATCCAACTCACAGATAACCTACTTGCCTCTGCCTCCCAAATGCTGGAATTAAAGGCATGGGCTATGCCCTGTTTAATTTTTTTTTTTTAGATATGATCTCACTCTGTAGTTTAAATTGGCCTGGAAGTGTATATCTGCATCAAAAGGAACTCACAGCAATCCTCTGTCACAACTTCCCAAAGGCTGGTTTATGTCACCATGTCCTCCATTTGATCATTTAAAAACCATCCTTATTGGTGGACTGACATCTCAGGGATCTAAGTGACCTTCCTGTAGGCACGTCTCTGCTTCCATGCCTACCATGTGCCGGTGGAACAGTATGGGCACCAAATGCATACTTGCTGCATTGTAAATGGGTGATTAATTTCATGGGCAAAGGTTGTTGTTTTGCTGTTCTAATGAAGAATATATTTCTAGAAGAAATCAGTTTCTTTTTTTTTTCTTTTCTTTTTTCTTTTTTTTTTTTTGGTTTTTCAATACAGGGTTTCTCTGTGGCTTTGGAGCCTGTCCTGGAACTCGCTCCCTCACTCCATATACCAGAATGGCCTCGAACTCACAGAGATCCACCTGCCTCTGCCTCCTGAGTGCTGGGATTAAAAGCGTGTGCCACCTCCCGGCCAAGAAATCAGTTTCATGTAGAACTTTCTGGTTGGGTATCTTGCCCTCTGCTCATCAGACATTGGGTATTGCATTGCTGTAGACTCTTAAAACTTGCTTTTAGGTTGCAGGGATTGGGGGTCAGTCATCTGCATAACCCTATTACCAAGCACTTCTCATTATGGGAACCAAACCGAACTATAGTTGGGCTACTCACTAGACCTGTGATGATTTCCCTTTAGGAAGAGAATGTATCCAGGTTCTTTCTGACCTTTCCATTTTCTTTTAGGTATTGCTGGGTGCTGTGCCAAAACCACAGTTGCTCCTTTGGATCGAGTAAAGGTTTTATTACAAGCTCACAACCACCATTACAAACATTTAGGTGAGTTACAGATACTGTCCTATTGTGGGTTTCTAGTGCTGGGATGAATCACCATGACCAAAAACAAGTTAGGGAGGAAAGGGTTTAATTTGACTTACTCTTCTGTATCACAGTTCTTCATTGAAGGAAGTCAGGAACTCAGAACAGGGCAGGAAACTGGAGGCAGGAGCTGTGGAGGAGCGCTGCTTACTGGCTTGCTCCTTATAGCTTGCTCAGTCTACTTTTTCTTTTACTTTATATATATATATATATTTATTTAGTTAGTTATTGTTTTTCAAAGCAGGGTTTCTCTGCGTAGCTTTGGAGTCTGTTCTGGAACTTACTTTGTAGACAAGGCTGGCCTCGAACTCACAGAGATCTGTCTGCCTCTGCCTCCCCAGTGCTGGGATTAAAGGCGTGCGCCGTCACCATCACCTGGCTTCAGTCTACTTTCTTGTAGAACCAAGGACCATCTGCCCAGGGATGGCCCTCCTCCATCAATCACTGATTAAGAAAATGTACTATAGACTTGCCTATAGCCCTATTTTATGGAGGCATTTTCTCAACTGAGGTTCTCTCAATGACTCTAGCTTATGTCAAGTTGACATAAAAGCTAGGTAGGAGAGATGCTAAAGATGGGAAGGAGTGAAGCATTGCCTACCTGTTTTCTTGTAGAGAGAGGAATAAGAGAGTTGATGCCTGGGACAAGCTTTAAAGGGACTACTCGCTGCCCCTCTTTTTAGACCATGTCTCCCGATGCAGCTCTGTCTGTTCTGTAGCTACGTAGTCCATAGGAGACCTTGGTCTCCTGTCTCAGCCACCCAAATACTAGAGTATAGGCTTGTGTCCCCATAACTGGTTTTCTTTTATCTATTTTACGTAATTAATTTTTTTAAATATAAGATCTCACTGAAGCCTAGGCTAGCCTAGGATTCACTCTGTAGCAGAGGTTGGCCTGTTTCATGTCAGTCCTTCTGTCTCAGTCTTCTCAGTGCGGATGTCACTGGAGCGAACCACCACGCACAGCTATTTACAGATTAAAGCCTGATTTACAGATTAAAGTTTATCATAAGTATGTTTGTACAGGAAAACATAATGTTCCTGGGGTTTGATATTACGTGACGTTTCAGCTATCCACTGGGCATCTTGGCACACGCCCCAGTGGATACTGATAATGGGTTAGTGATTCATGTTGCCGGAATCTAAAGATCTAAAGATACCCACAGGTGGGGCAGAGCGAAGCCCTTTGTTTGTCGGTGTTCCCGAGGCAAACAGCACTCTCGCATTAAGCAGTTGCAAGACTCTTTTTGTTTTGTTTTGGTTTTGGTTTTGGTTTTTCAAAAGAGGGTTTTACTGTTTGGCCCTGGCTGTCTGGACTGCAACCCTGTAGACCAGACTGGCCTTGAACTCAGAGATCCACCTGCCTCTGCGTCCTGAGTGCTGGGACTAAAGGCGTGTGCCACTTCCTTCTGGCTGACTTTTTAAAGTTTTGCGTTTGGTACTGATTATTGAACCTGTTGCCTCACACAAGTTAAACAAGAGCTCTGCCACAGTACTGAGTACCCAGAGATACCTGTTCCTGTTCCTTCCTTGTTTGTTATTTCCTTGTGGAAATAAACTTGTGCTTAGGCCAGCCTGAGGAGCCTTCTCTCATCGTTTCAGATGGATCCTTATAATCCTCAGTGCAACATTTGAATCTCTCAGATATATTTATTACTGTTGCTAATCTTGTTAGGTGGTTCTGGCTCATTCAATATAATTTGCTCTGACTTTGAATATAATTTTTTTAAGATTTATAGCTGTACTTGTAGTGGTAAGGGTTGTTTTTCGTTGGTTTATTCCATCTATCTATCTATCTATCTATCTATCTATCTATCTATCTTTATTGCAGGGTCTTTTTACATAGCCCTGTTCTGAAACTCACTATGTAGATCATGCTGGCCTTGAACTCACAGAGATCCACCTGCTTCTGCCTTTCCAGTACTGGAATTACAGGTGTGTGCCACCATGTCCATCTCAGTGGTAAACCTTATATTTTATGTTAGTAACGCTTATTTATATGACTTAGATAAATGATGCAGTTTAACTATGATATAGAAATTACCATTTCTGTTGTGGGCTGGAGAGATGGCTCAAAGGTTGGAAGCACTTTTTGTTCTTGTAGAGACCTGGGTTCAGTTCTCAGCACCCACACAATGGTGCTAATGGTCATTTATGGCTCCAGTTCCAGGGGATCTAATACCCTCTTTTGAGCTTTATGGGCACCTGTCGCTCATGTAATGCATAAAGACATGTAGACAAAACAGTTGTATACATGAAATAAAATAAAGAAATTGGAGCTGGAGAGATAATTCAACAGTTAAGAGCATTGGCTGATCATCCAGAGGACCCAGGTTCAATTCTCAGCACCCACATGGCAGCTCACAACTGTTTGTAACTCGAGTTCCAGGGGTTCTGACACCTTCACACAGACATATACACAGGCAACACACCAATGCACATTTTAAAAAAAGCTTCATCATCAGTCTCTTAGAAACAAAAAAATAATAAACTGTTAAAAATAAATAAATTACCACTTGTGGTCAGGCCTGATGGTACACACTAATAATTCCAGCACTTGAGAGGTGGAGGCAGGAGGATCAGGACTCAAGGTCATTCCTGGCTGTGTAGTGTGTTTGGGGTAAGCCTGGGTTATAGGAGAATCTCTCTAAGAAAACAAAGCAAAAAAAAAAAAATGGCTGGGTGGTGGCGTCGCACGCCTTTAATACCAGCACTCGGGAGGCAGAGGCAGGCGGATCTCTGTGAGTTCGAGGCCAGCCTGGTCTACAAGAGCTAGTTCCAGGACAGGAACCAAAAGCTACGGAGAAACCCTGTCTTGAAAAATCCAAAAAAAAGCAAAACACTCATGAAATTATATAATTCCTCAAACACAATTTTATTATGAGTGATGGTTTAGTAATGTCTGTCTGTGTTTTCTATGAAAATTTGAATTTAGATATGTTTATTGGAGGAGAGAGCATTGAGACATACTGTTCTTCAGGTTGGCCTTGAGTCTGCTTATGTTGAGGTTACAGTTAGGAAAAAGGACGAAACAGGGTCCAGCTGGTGGCACGTGTCTTTAATCCTATATTCAGAAGGCAGAGGCAGGCAGATCTCTGTGAACTGCAGGCCAGCTGGAGCTATATAGTGAGACCCCATCATAAAACAACACACTCACAGATAACCACACACAACAACAACAACAAAAAAGAAAACAAAAATGAGGGTCGGCAAGAGAGCGCAGTGGGTCAGATGCTTATCATTTAAGCCTATTGACTCAAGTTTGATCCCCAGAACCCATATAAATATGGAAGGAGGGAACTGGCTCCTCAGAGTTGTCCTCTGATCTCCACACATGCCCTGTGACATGAACACACCAGTGTGCACACATTCTCGAGCACATACACAATGACAAACACGTACATACTAACAGAAAAAGGAGAACAAAACAAAAACAGTTCAGAAAGCTTACAGATGTGAGCCATGTGCCGGGCTCGAAGTTATAGTTTTCCAGACTTTAATAGTGTTTTTCCTCTAAACTCTTTCCATGAATAGGGGTACTCTCTACACTGCGCGCCGTTCCCCAGAAGGAAGGATACCTTGGACTGTATAAAGGAAACGGTGCGATGATGATTCGAATCTTTCCCTATGGTGCAATCCAGTTCATGGCCTTTGAGCATTACAAAACGGTAGTTGGGTTTTTCTATTTCATCTCTTTAAATGTTATGTTTAATACCAGACATTTGTTTTCATTTGTGTGTGTCTGTGTGTGTGTGTGTGTGTGTGTGTATGTACACATGCAAGTCAGAGAACATGCATGGAAGTCCTTCAGTCATGCGGGTCCCATGGTTTGGACTCAGGTTATCAGGCTTGGTGGCAAATGCCTTTAGTAGTGAGCCATCTTGTAGGCCTTATATCCTTCATTGTTTTGAAACAGTATCTTCATGTAAAACACAGGCTGGGTTTGATGGTCATTTGCTTCTGCTGCCCACATCCAGGGATTCCACGGTCTGTCACTGTGCTCTGCATTGGAATTTTGTCTAGTGCTAGGGATTGCGGCTAGGACCTTGTGCCTGCTGCTGCTGGTAAATAAAGCCTGGGTGTGGAGAATCAAGTGCAGGCTTTTACTCTTGTGTGCAATCACTTCCCAGCTGAGCATCTTCTCATTTCCCGTTTGTTTTGAGAGGGGCCTGGAATTTACTGTGTAGCCAGTGTTGGCTCTGAACTCCTGGTCTTCCCTCCTCTATCTCTCAAGTGCTGGAATTGTAAGCGTGTACCACCATGCCCAACTCAAAAGCATCTCTCAAAAAGGTATATGTAGGGTGAGTGCAGTGGCTCAGGGGGTAAGGGTAGCTTTTGCCTAGCAACCTAAATTCAGTCCCAGGATCCACTTAGTGGACAGCTGACTCCTTCCAGTCTTCCCCTAAAGTCCATGAATGTGCACAATCATACACACACACACACACTAAAACTTACAGAAGTTCTGCCTGCCTCTGCTTCCTGAGTGCTGGGATTAAAGGGTGTGCCACCACCACCCAACTAAAACTGATTTTCAGAAAATTAAAAAAAAATTTTATTTCATGTGTCCAAGTGTTTTGTCTTCATGTGTGTGTGTGTGTGTGTGTATGTGTGTGTGTACTGTAAATGTCTGGTGCCTATAGTAGCCAGAAGAGGGTGCTGTATTCCCTGGGACTGCAGTTATTGTCAGTTTTGAGCCACCTTGTGGGTAGTGGGAAGAGAATCCAAGCTGTCTGCGAGAGCAACAAATGCTCTTGACCTCTGAGCCATCTCTCTGGCTCTTCTAACTTTAACACATAAAATAGAATCTCATTTAATTCAGTGTTTTTGGTTTCTAGTTCATTACTACAAAGCTGGGAGTTTCTGGTCATGTACACAGATTAATGGCTGGATCCATGGCAGGTAAGATGAATAGGTGTAATTTATATTTGGTAAGTAACTTTTCTTTGTATTAAAGTGCTTAATTTTGGTGGTTAGAAAGATAACTAAGCAATTAAGAGTACTTGCTGCCGGGCGGTGGTGGCGCACGCCTTTAATCCCAGCACTCGGGAGGCAGAGGCAGGTGGATCTCTGTGAGTTCGAGACCAGCCTGGTCTACAAGAGCTAGTTCCAGGACAGGCTCCAAAACCACAGAGAAACCCTGTCTTGAAAAACCAAGAAAAAGGGGCTGGAGAGATGGCTCAGTGGTTAAGAGCATTGCCTGTTCTTCCAAAGGTCCTGAGTTCAATTCCCAGCAACCACATGGTGGCTCACAACCATCTGTAAAGAGGTCTGGTGCCCTATTCTGGCCTGCAGACATGCACACAGACAGAATATTGTATGCACAATAAATAAATAAATATTAAAAAAAAAAGAAAAACCAAGAAAAAAAAAGGAGTACTTGCTCCTCTTTTAAAAAAGTAGATTTATTCCAATATATTTATTCCTTTTTTTGACATACAGTCTCACTATGTAATCCTGGCTGGTCTGTATTTAAATATTTATTATTTTTAAATTTTATTTATTTTTATTCTATGAGCATTGGTGTTTTGCCTGAATGTATGTCTATATGAAGGTTTCAATCCCCTGAACTGGAGTTACAGACAGTTGTGAGTTGCCATGTGGGTGCTGGGAATAGAACCTGGGTTCTCTGGAAGAGCTGCCAGTGCTCTTAACCACTGAACCATCTCCCCAGCCCCTTAAATATTTATTTTTATTTGTGTGTATGTGTGTGTGTGTGTGTGTGTGTACACCTGCCCATGGAAACCAGAAGAGGATGTTGGATCCTTTGGAGCTGGAGTTATTGGCTGAATGGGCTGCCCAACATGTGTGCTGGGAACTGAACTGAAGTCTTCTGAAGAGTAATATGTACTCTTAACTACCACACCGTCTCTCCAGCCCCATTTTTGTTCTCTCAGAGGACCAGAGTTAGGTTGGTTCCTAGCTTTCACTTCAGGTGGTTCACAGTTTCTGGTGACCCAGCTCCATAAGGATCTGATGCCTCTGACCTCCATGGGCATCTGCACTCTCTTGCACATACCCACATACAGGCAGACAGACAGACACTCAATTAAAAATAAGAAAAATTAATCTTTACTTAAAAAATATTTATTTTTAGCCAAGCAGTGGTGGTGTACTTCTTTAATCCCAGCACTTGGAAGGCAAAGGCAGGTGGATCTCTGAGTTCGAGGCCAGCCTGGTCTACAGAGTGAGTTCTAGGACAGCCAGGACTACACAGAAACACAGAGAAGCCCTGTCTTGAAAAAGCAAAAAACATTTAATGTTTAGGTAACTTAGTCTATGGCTGTCTGATGGTTCTGTTGTCCCCTGTTTAATTAATTACAGCTTATATTTTGTTCCTATTATTTAAATATGAATTAATGTCCTGGTTAATTTATATTTAGTAATCTATTATCTTTGTTTACCTTTAGTCATTTCAAATGTAACAATATGAATTTTATATTTTTCAAAGGAAAAAGTGGATTTTTGAAATGATTGTTTCAGTGCATCTTATTTTAAACCTTGGCGGAGCCCATCCCCCCATCCCACGCACACACTGAACAAACGAAAAGCCACAGGCTGAGAGTCAAGGTCATGTGCTTGAGGAAAGTCTTCTTGCCTCTGTCAGTTCCCACGGAACTAAGGATGACAAGATAAAGATGACAGAAAAAGAAGGGAATTGCTAGAACCTAGATGTGAAGTCATGGTCTTTTCTTGCCTGCGGTTCTGGGTGGCTGAGCAGACAGCACACTTCCTGGGAGCCAGGCTGACCGCAGTTACTCATCCGCCCTTTGGCCATGGGTGAATCACTCAAGACCGCTGTAACTTACCAATTTGTTAAAGTGGAATCCACAGCTGTGTTCCCATATTGTCTCTCCTATGCATGCTGCTTCTAGGGAACAGAAAAGAGATTGTGGGGCTGAGAAGACCTCAGTTTGTAGAGTGCTTGCCTAGCATGCAGGATCCCCTGGGTTTAATTCACAGCGTCCCTTAAACCAGGCAAGGTTGTGTTTTCCTGTCATCCCAACAATGGGAGGTAGAGACAGGAGGATCAGAAGTTCAAGGGCATCCTTGATTAATTAATTAATTAATAGTAATTTTGAGCCCAGTCTGGGCAACATGAGACCATGTCTTAAAAACACAAAAGGTGCCAGGCAGTGGTGGTACACACTTTTAATCCCAGCACTTGGGAGGCAGAGGCATGTGGATCTCTGAGTTCGCCTTAGTGTTGGGATTAAAGTGGCCTCCTGGCCTCAGACACAGACCTCTGCTCTCTACCAAGACTGCAAACATTCCAGGCAAGTACTCATCCCTGAGCTGTGATTCCAGTCAGAGAGCTCTGTTTTCTGTGTGAAAATACAGTTCAGAAGGTACCACACCGCACACAGTTTGTTTTATTTTAATTATGATGGCTCCTGTGGCCCTGGAGTGTTAGAGAGATTTTTTTTCTTTCTTTTTCTTCTCTCTCTCTCTCTCTCTCTCTCTCTCTCTCTCTCTCGGTGGCTTTTCGAGATAGGGTTTTTCTGTAGCCTTGGCTGGCCTCACACACACAGAGATGGACCTTCCTCTTCCTAGTATGGGGTTAAAGATGTGTCTACAATGCCCAGCAGAGTCTCAGCTGTCAGCTCTTCTTGCTCCCAGCTATCCACAAGTCTGTGTGGTTTCCTACAATTCGAGATCAAAGCCGCCATCTTCCACCCCCGACACACTATAGAACGGGACTCCTTATAGCATCTAAGAATGTCATTCGGTTTGTGGCTTAGTTTCTGTCTCTCTAATGCAGTATAGTGCTCTTCTTTGTTCCTGTGGCAGAATTCTGGAGGCTGGGTGCTTTAGAAACACAAGAGATTTATTTAGCTCACACTTTCGTATGCTGGAAGCTGAAGAACGTGTGGCTCCATATGTGTGGCATCCGGTGAGGGACTTGGGAATAATGACATCCCAGTGTTATGAGAATGTATGTGTGAGAGCTATCACATTGGGAGGCAGGAAACCAGAGGTCAGGAGGTTAGAATACAGCTTGCTGGAGTAGACTCTCTTTTCCTGTCTCAGGTTGTCAGACTTGGCAGATAGTACCTTTACCCACCAAGTCATCTCGCCATCCCAGTCTCCTCCTGGACACTCATAATTCTGCCTCAGCCTCCTGTGTGCTGGGACCAGAGGCGTGTACCCCCAAATCTTTTTGGTTTGTGCATGCAGTGAGTATGCTGACTAGGTCGAGAAGATAATGCTGAGTTCCTCAAGCTCTTCCCAGTAGACTAATGCCATCATTGTCCAGTACTGTGAAAGTGTAGGCAGGAGGACCTGAGTCCCCTGCCTGCTGGGGCTGCACAGAGAATCTGAGGTAACCGAGGCTACAGAGCATGACCCTGTCTCAGAAGAGGAAAGAAGAGGGAGGGAGTGAATGAGAAAGTAGTGCACGGTGTGTTGGCTCATGCCTGTGATTCCAGCACTGTGATTCGGGGTAGAGGCAGGTGGATTGCCAAGAGCTAGTGGCCAACCTAGGCTACAGAGTGAGACCTTGTCTCCAAATACCAATTGAGAGAGAGAGAAAAATAATAGCACAATACAGTTGTCAGTTTTTCTTATGTTTGAGCATGTAGAGAGGGAAGCCTTACTTGCTTTGGATGACATGTTTAGTTCTCAATTTCTTGACTCAAGAAGAAAAGAAGAGTTTTCCTGCCCACAACAACCAGAAGCACATTTCAGCTTGGCTGAGCCTCATTCCACCCTGGAAGGTGAAGAGGTTCCATTAGTGCATTGAAATCGTATGTTAACGGGGAACTGAGATGTCAGGTGTGGGGCACACATCATAAATGCCGGAATTTGAGAGTCTGAGGCAGGCAGATCTCTAATTTTGAGGCCAGCCTGGTCTACATTTCAGAGTTCCAGAACAGCCAGAGCTATATAATAGAGGGACCCTGTATTAAAAAAATACAAAAACAAACAAACAAAAAACCATTGAGAGCTTACTATTGAAGTTCCCCAGGCAAGAGGTTTTGCCAACACAGTGGTGTATGCCTAGAATCCTAGCATTCTGAAGGCTGAGACATGAGGATCACTGAAACTTGGTCGCCAGCCTGGATTATATAACAAGATACTGTCAAAAAAGCAAAAAATAACTGGGCAGTGGTGGTATACACTGTTAATTCCAGTATTTAGGAGGCAGAGGCAGGCAGATCTCCTCTGAGTTCGAGGCCAACCTGGTCTGCAGAGTGAGTTCCAGGACAGCCAGGGCTACACAGAGAAACCCTCTCTTTTTTTTTTTTTAAAGATTTTATTTATTTATTATGTATACAACATTCTGCCTCCATGTATGTCTGCATGCCAGAAGAGGGCGCCAGATCTCATTACAGATGGTTGTGAGCCACCATGTGGTTGCTGGGAATTGAACTCAGGACCTCTGGAAGAGCAGCCAGTGCTCTTAACCACTGAGCCATCTCTCCAGCCCCCGAGAAACCCTCTCTTGAGAAGTAAAACAAACAAACAAACCAAACCAAAGAAAACAAAATGCAAAAAATAAACACAAAGCAAAAAGGTATTTTTCCTGCCTTACAAAATTTAAAATTATATGTGTATGTGGTGTGTGTGTGTGTGTGTGTGTGTGTGTGTGTGTTTGTGGATCGGAGGAGAGCCTGTAGGAATTGCTTTGTTTCTTTTTCCTGGAGATTGGGCTCCGGTTAGCAGGCTTGTTGGTAAATGCCTTTACCTGTTGAACTATCTCACTGGTCCTTTATTTTTTGTTATTTAACATTTGGGGGTGTGTGTTCGTGGGTGCGTGTACTCATGAGTACACATGTGAAGGTCCAGACTACTTTGGTTTTTTTTATTTATTTTTTATCTTTTTAAATTTATTTATTTATTAAAGATTTCTGCCTCCTCCCCGCCACCGCCTCCCATTTCCCTCCCCCTCCCCCGATCAA